ACATCTTATAAAATCTTATTCATCTGCGCCAGCTGCCACAGGAGAGTGAACTGCCTGTCAGAAATCATAGCACATCAGCTGTCTACTGCATCATCGCTGTGTCTGTCGCGCGACTGTTGCCCTTTCGGGCTTGAACTGATGGTAAAACTAACGACATTATTAACTGTCTTGATATTTACTTTGAAAGCTGACGCCCGTGATTATGGTAAGGGGTGTTACATTTCCAACACATGCTTGTGGTGTTCGGCTAATCACAATTCACTGGGTCAGCTGGCCAATCAGAGCAGACTGCGCTTGTCAAAGGAGGGGGCTTTGTTGAAAACGACGTGTTTGAGAGAGGCGGGGCATAGAGGACCTACAATAATGTACAGTATTTGAAAAATAATGTGTTTTTTGAACATTAAAGCATGTCAACATATTCTGTTACTCCAAATACACAAAATAATGATCTTTAAAATAGCATCATATGACCCCTTTAAGCATTGTATAATGGTTGTTAACGACTTGTGTGTTCTCAAATATTAGCACTAAGAAAAAGGTTGTGTCATGAACTTAGAAGGCTCGCGAAACAGCTTTGTGTTTTGTATGCAGGTCTTTGTGGGAAGCGGAACTTTCTGTGGGCTGTTAGTTCACGCCAGGGTGCATTCCCAGTTCACACCTGCGCGTTAAAGGGGTGGTTGATTGCGATTTCACTTTTTAATGTTAGTTAGTGTGTAATGTTGCTGTTTGATCATAAACAATATCTGCAAAGTTACGAAGCTGAAAGTTCAATGCAAACGGAGATATCGTCTTTTAAAATTCTGGCAGTTTAATGCCTACAAAAATGACTGGTAAGGGACTACAACGAGTTACTTCCCGGGTCCGTTACGTCAAGAACCCAGAATTTTACATAAACCCCGCCTCCGGGAACACGCAGCAAAGGGGGCACGCGCGCTAGAGGCGGTTTAGCCAATCACAACACACACTGGGCCAGCTAATCAATCAGAGCCCATCGTGTATTTCTGAGGGAGGGGCTTCATAAAAGCAGGAAATGATCAGCGTGTTCAGAGGAGAAGGGACAGAGTGGTGTGGAATAAAGGTAAATTATGTGAAAAATAATGCGTTTTTTAACAAACAAAGCATTAACACATGTTAGACTGCACCCCATAAACACAATCAAGCCTATAAAAAAAACAGTCAACCACCCCTTTAAATAACGAATCCTGCTAGATTATGAATATTAATAAGGTCGGTATTACGTTGCTTTCATTAGCTTCATAAGGCGCAAAGTCATATATTAATATTAAAATAAAAAAATAAAGTTTATAGTTAACTTGGATATTCCATTTGCCTCGCGACCATTTACAATCGTCTGCCTTGTGTTGCAAAGCCGACTGGGCGAACGTCACGTTGCGTAATTAATATTAATGAGCTCATCGCTTCCGCCGCAACTGTTTCTGATCTTTTTTATTTGCTTAATTTAGTGTGTATGAAACTTTAAACTGACTTTTTTTGTAGTATTATCATCCAGACCTTTACTGAAGCCAATATGTGGACGAACCCAGAGCGGCGTTACATGGTAAAGTAGGCTACGTTAACTTTCTCAGGATGGACAGGTGGAACCACACTTTCCAGCGATGATGACAGGATATAGCATTTTATTTAATCATATTATAGAGAGATAACAAGAGCAGATTTCCATTTGTACATCCCTGGAATTAATTTAAAAAAAAAGCATATTTATTCATCAACAAATGTCTCCATTAAGACAAAAACCTTCCTGAGATTTGATTTGTCTTAACCCTGTAAAGCCTGCATATTAAAAAATAGTTAGAAAAAATAAATGAAACATTTTATTAAAGTATCATCTTTGATATATCACGCTTTTATGATCAAAGCTCAGTCAATTATTGTGGGGGCAAAACATAAAATGCAAATGTAAAACGATAATTGAGAGATGAACGTTTTACGTATCGAATATAACAGCAGGCATTAGTGACTGTTTCTATGGGCCGCGATACGTTCCAAAATGGCGAACGCGTCAACGTATCTGGAGCGGTCGAATAGGGATCTATACATATCTATGATAGTAGACGCATGTGCGGAAGCGACCTGTCACGCGTATACATCCCTCATTATTTACACAGTACAGAGAGATTGTGGACGTGTTCACTGGCACTGCGATGATCTAAAGATATTTAGAAGTACAGGTACAAGTACAATGGAAAACTATGTTGATATATCATCAGACAACGTGGAATTTTTTGCCCAACCGTATTTATTCGATGTCACGCGCCGGATGTTGTGAACGCGCTCAGGACAGTTGGACATTGCAGTGGATCAGAGGTAAAAAATGATATAAATACTGTTCAGTTTCTTGCACAAACCGATCGTTTCGTGTCTTAAGACCTCAATGTATCGTCACGAGCCGCAGGGTTTAATTTGGTTTTGTCTGTGTATGTTTTTTTTTTACTCTCAAAGCCGTGGAGCCCATTGACTGCCATTATAAGACTGATAGACTGCAACGGTTTGAGTTAAAAATCGTCATTTGTGTTCTACTGAAGAAACAAAGTCACCTACATCTTGGATGCCCTGAGGGTAAGCAGATAAACATCAAATTTTCATTTTTGGGTGAACTATCCCTTTAAATGTTTTGTACTTGTTCGGTCAAGCCTGCCGTACTGCCACCTCACGTTTACTGCAGTTACTGCAACTGCACCCCAACAAAACACGATGCTCTGGGCAAATAAATTTAAGTTTATTGAAACATTTCATGTCATACAATAACTACATGTGGAACATTTATTCCCAGTCTCCCTATGACATTTCCCATGACACTGGAAAAACAGTTAACAGATAAAATAATCACAAAAAAGGATTGGCTATAAAAAGGAGAAATGTTCCTCCATGTCAAAGTTGCATCTGTGCTGTGCCATGCCCTGGCAGTGTGGGAAGCATTTCATCTCACAAATCATCTCCCAGATGAAAATAAAACTAACAACCATCCACTGAACCAGCTCACATACTGACAAGAGAAGACCTTACGGCCAAAGGAGCTGATTGTCCCGACTGCCCTCATCTACCTAACATCTACAAACACCTGAAACAATTACAGTGTGAAGCAAATAACTTATATTTCATATTTACCACTCAAGCTATGCTTCCTTGCTGAAAAACCTGCTTAAACCAGCCTAAGACCATCTTAACCACCAAGCTGTTTTTCTTCCAGCAGGGTAACGCAATTGTTTAGGGAATGTTTTATTGCTATGCAGCCCATATTTTTCATTTAAATATAGAGTAATCAATGTACAGACATTCAGACTGGAGCATTAAATGGTGATAATGTGATAAACACCTTTCTGAAAATGCTAGTGAGAGAACAGATTGAGAGAAAAGTGATATGTTAAATAATTCAATGGTAGGAAAGCAACACTGATGATTATAGGAACTCTTCTAGTGATCTATACAGTAGTGATCTTACAATTCACAGATTTCGAGGCACTACAGCTGACTCTACTGAGAATGAATATAGGGCAAGTTAGTTGTTGAGAATCCTCATCCTTAATTTCTGTTCACTTTTATGTTTTTTTGTTTTTCACAGAATATAAAGAGTAAATTGGCTTGGATTAAACACACCATGCTACATCGCTGTGTAAAAATGCAAGTACAGTTCCCTAACCAATTCATATTAGTATCTTCTCCAAAGAGTGTTAATACAGTAGGATCAATGACACGATCCGGTCTAGATGGACATTGTTCAGTAAAGATGTTTAAAAATACCTTGATAGATATGTAAGGGTGGATATATTGCAAGCTTGAAAGGAATATCTAGGTCACATTTCACCCTAAAATAAATTAAAAGGAAAAAAGGTACTTATTTTTTTTAAATAAAGAAAATAATGTTTAATTTTAGGAACATTAATTATTAATATTTTTTGTTTTTGCATTGTGACATTATTTTCATTAAAAAAAAAAGCACACACCCTTTCTATAATTGTCAGTAATGTATATTTTTGTACTGAATTTAATTAAATAAAAAAGTAGCATGTTGCTTTTTTTTTTTTTTTGAGGGAAGTGTGCTTCATTGTCCTGAAAATACAAATAAAAAACAAGTTAATTATTTTTAAAATATAGAATTTTTTTTTAATTCAGTACCATTAATTATTATTGGTCTTATTTTGCATTGTGCCATTATTTTCATGAGAAATAAGCACATTAACACTTACATTTCACTTTTCAGTATTTAATTTTTTTATTTAAATATTACATTTTTAAAATTGAAATATTGAAAACTGAGTGACTGTAAATTTGAGGGTATGCATGTCCTTAATTGGAAATTAAAAAAAACAAATTAGCATGTTACAATGATGAGAATTTGGGGGGAAATGTGTTAACTATTTTGAAAATAATGCCACAGAGAAGTAATTTTTTTTTTAAGATTTTTGCATGAAG